GCTATGAGGACATTTAAAAAATATATTTTATTGGATTTTTTTACAGAGAGGAAGGAAGAGAGAGAAACATTGATCAGCTGCCTCCTGCACACCCCCCATTGGGGATGTGCCCACAACCAAGGTACATGCCCTTGACAGGAATCGAACCTGGGAGCTTTCAGTCTGCAGGCCGATACTCTATCCACTGAGCCAAACCGGTTTCGACTACGAGGACATTTTTGATACTGAGGAAATTGTAATATGACTGTTAGATGGTACAATGGAGTCGCTGTTAATTTGCTAGGTGTGGTAATAGTATTGTGGTTATAAAAGTGAATGTCCTTAGGAGATACCTGTTAGAGTGAGTATTTAGGAATATTTGGGAATAAAGAATTATGTCACCGTCTTCAACAGCCATTGAAAATGATATATAGGTATGCATGTGAGACAAGAGATTGTTAAATCGAGGTGGAACATATAGATACTCCTCGACTTTCGATGGGGCGATAGCCCGTTGTAAGTGGAAAGTATCATAAGTAAAAAATGCATTTAGTAACTACACTGTGGAACATCAGTCGTTTCCCCTTGTGATCCCGGGGCTGTCTGGGGGCTGTGGCTCGCTGCCACTGCCCAGCATCACAAGGCAGCATCATACTGCATATCGCTAGCCCAGGAAAAGATCAGAACTCAAAATTCGAAGCATAGTTTCTACTGAATGCATATTGCTTTTGTACCATTGTAAAGTGGAAAGTGTCAGGGAATGTTTGAAAATTTTCAAAATAAAATGTCTGGGGGAGGGGGGTTTAAATTATACATTTTACAAATTCATGCTAAAATTTCAAAAATAATCTCAGGAGTCCCTTTTTCTGCTCCAGCTCATTCTCTCTGGCCATTAAGAACATTTCATGGAGAAGATTGAGAAGCCCTAATTTTTGTTTTTCTCCCACCATTGTGCCCCAGGAGCCCCCAAAGAGGCTAGGACTGTCATTTCTGTATTCTCAGAACTAGGCATGGCCTGCCACCGAGGGATGAATAAATGCTCCCTGAATAGGCAAAACCACTAACTTACATGCATGTGACCTTGGGAAACTGTATGTACACGCAGGCTCCCCTTCTGTAAAAGGAGGTTGGACTCGACGACCTAACGTCCTTTCTAGCCCTAGCTCCATGGATGCTATACTCGGGGCATGAAAGGCAGGTCAGCGGCCTTTTCTACATAAAACCCATCTCACCAAGCAGAGATGATCACAGTGAATTGGTCTTTGCTCTCTGGCCAAGCTCCTACCTTTCAGCTGAGCCAGGGGCTTTGGGAGAAGTATTCTTAAAAATCCACAGCACATGTGATAGAGCAGTGCTTTTCCTGAGAGCCAGAGGGTGGCAGGGCAAGTCAACTGAGCTTTAGACTGCCCTCTTGGCTGTAGTCATAGCATTGGCTAACACCAGTGTCTTCAACCTTGATTGCACATTGCAATCACTTAAGGAAGCTTTAAAATATACTGATTTTCACCCCAGGGACTCTGATTTAATTGGCTTGGGGAAATGATCTAAGCATCTGGGTTTTTAAAGGCTACCTAGGTGATTCTATGTGCATTCTAAGGCCAACATCATGATGATGGGGTGAGAGCTCTAGTTGGATTTACATCTTGGCTTTGCCATTTCCAAGTTGCCTGGGGTATTACTTCTCTTTGAACTTGTTGACCCGTATGTGACAATCAAGTGAGATAATGCATAAAACATGGAGCCAGAAAGAACAGCTAACTAGTTAAGGACAACTATTTTAAAAAACACTTTTTTTTTTTATTGATTTCAGAGAGGGAAAGAGGGAGAGAGATAGAAACATCAATGATGAGAATCATTGATCGGCTGCCTCTTGCACGTCCCCACTAGGGATTGAGCTCACAACTTGGGCATGTGTCCTGACCGGGAATGGAACAGTGACCTCCTGGTTCATAGGTCGACACTCAACCCCCAACCCATGCTGGCTGGGCAAGGACAACTATTAATGAGTAAACACGAGACGAAACCAGTTTGGCTCAGTGGTAGAACGTCGGTCTGCGGACTGAAAGGTCCTGGGTTCGATTTTGGTCAAGGGCATGTTGCGGGCACATACCTGGTAGGGGGTGTACAAGAGGCAGCTGGTCTATGTTTCTCTCTCATCAACGTTTCTAGCTCTCTCTCTCTCTCCCTTCCTCTCTGTAAAAATCCATAAGATATATTTTTAAAAAATGAGTAGACATCAGAAGCCTCTGTGGCTCTCCTAGGAAAGATGAACATTTTTTGAGTTTGAAGAGCAGTGCTTCTCAAACTTGCATCAAAATCACCTGGAGGACTTGTAAAAGATGGCTGAATACCTCCTTTCCTCAAAGTGTCTGATTCAGCAAGTCTCAGTCTCAGGCGGGGCTCTGAAATTTGCGTTTCTAGCAAGTTCCCAGGTGATGCTGATGCTGCCAGTCCAGAAACCACACCCGGAGAATCACTGTGCTTGAACAGGGTTTCTCAGCACCACGAATGGCATTTTGGAGCACCCAATTCTTTGAGCACCTTTGGCCTCTCCCATAGATGTGCTCTCCAGTGGTGACAATCAAACATGTCTCCAGGTACTGACAGGTGTCCTTGGAAGGCAACATTGCCCAGATCAGCCCTACTGCTCTAGAGGACACAGGTTAAAGACAAATCTAAGAATGTAGGTGGGTTTCAGAGGCAGGTGAGAAAAAGAAGTTGAAGCCTAGAAGAAAGGAGGAGAGTTTGGGATAGCTCAGGGATTCATGCAGAGGGGGGGCACCCACTCAGAGCTTTCTTGGAGAAAGATCATTATGGGTCTGGGGTACGGAGATAGTTGACCAAGTGTGCAGGCTCAAAACTCAAATTTGGCTTCATTTGGTCCCACAGGAACAGAGGCTGTTAAGTCTGGCCCCTCCTTCCATCCTGGGACACAGCAGCCAAGCCCTAAAATCCCTAGGAAGGAGCAATTCTGTCCTAACTCAGATGGCCTGACAGTTTTTCCCTCAGGCCTAACTGCCTGCAGCCCCGAATTGCCCAGGGCTCTCACACCGCAGGTTCCCATCCACACACCTTGAGAATTAACAAGCAGCGGACGCCTGGTCTATCTGCGAGAACAAATAACTTTGCAGTTTCACTGTGAAGAAGGAACTCTGACAAGAGCCCTGACTTGTCCAAATCCACCTCCCTGACAGTTCAGTCTACAAAACTCAACCATCCAATGAGGGGGTGGGGGGTGGGGCGGAAATCTGGCTCTTTCAAGTGCCAACAGTATTAAGTGTTAAGAGACGGTGGAAGTCAAAGGGAAATTAACTGAAAACCAGAGATGCCATTACTCATTCGGGAGCAATCTCTCTCCCAAAGCGAGAATACAATTTGCACCCTCTGGGGATGTTTTATACTCAAATCTTTATTCCCCAGGCGAGGGCCTCTATTTTCCTCAAATTCTAAGTGGTGCTGCTACTTTCTACTAATAGCCTCTCCCCAGCCCTTTGGAGGCACTTGGCAGGAGAGAAGGGGCTAAGGTTAGAGGAAAGCCCTGCAGTCTCCAGGCCCTCGTTCTACCCAATCACTGCCAACTTCTCAAGGGATTATTAGGCTTTTAAAAGTGCAATGTCAAGGTTCAAGCCCCGGTTTACCCCAAGCCAAGAAAGAAGGGTGAGCAGAGGGCACTGAACTAATTATGAGGTATGTGGACTTTAAAAGGGATTAGGGAGTAGCCTGTGACAGTGGAGGCGCTGTGAAGAGCAGTTTGCAAAGCATCTTCGGCCAAACCTCTCCTGGTTAAGGGCATAACCATACATGTAATTATTGCTCAGGCCCGAAATGAGTCATCATTCCCTTTGAAGATCCCACTATAACTTGTACCCTAAAGGGTCCAAGCAGTCTGGCAGTTAAATCTTCAGGCCCAATGTTTCTAACGTTCCTGGGAAACAGTGTTCTGTGGAATATCCTTTAGAAAACCTCAACCTATAGGATCAGGTTCATGAAGCACAAGCTTCCCAGGATTTGGTTATCACCTGCTGTTCTCCCCCAATAACAATGCTGAAGTTCAACGCATATGTTCTTTGTCCATCTGGCAAAAGCCCCACTCATTTGTTAAGTCCAATCTAAGCATAATCACATAATGTGGAAAACTCTCTTAACGCTCCCAGGTACAATAAATTGCTGTTTCCAGTGGTCTTTATTAAAATTTTATCCCCAGTGTATTAAAAGTGATGGAATTGATAGCTTTACCATCCTCCTGGCTCCTTCATTAATGAGTTAAATATTGGACGTGTGCTCACTTAAAACCATTCCTTCTCTAAGTTAAGATACACAGATGATTCAGGTTGGTGAGCTTAAGTATAAAACCAAACATGTTAGAACAGGTTGGAGGCATGAAGACCTTTATGAAATATGAGATTCAGTTGAAACTGGTTTGGCTCAGTGGATAGAGTGTCGGCCTGCAGACTGAAAGGTCCCAGGTTCGATTCCTGTCAAGGGCATGTACATTGGTTGTGGGCACATCCCCAGTAGGGGGTGTGCAGGAGGCAGCTGGTCGATGTTTCTCTCTCATCAATGTTTCTAGCTCTCTATCCCTCTCTCTTCCTCTCTGTGAAAAAATCAATAAGATATATATTTTAAAAAATATGAGATTCCGAAAACATACACTTCACTTTCTCATGTTAGATGGAATCCATGAGCACTGGTTCGTGCGCTCGACAATCATAAATGATCTAGGAAGACAGTAACCTGTCTTGGGGGTAGGAGACAACTATTGGCATTTCTTAAAGAAATTGATGCTATGTTCTCAATAGGAGAGCAGTATTTGTTACTGATATTCTGTCATTTTCATGGGAATGAGTAAACAAACAAAAAAACCCCACAAAAAAACAAAAACACACATAAAAGAAGCCGTCCTAGTAAACGGCTTCTTGAAAGTTTAACTGGAATGTGTCACCTGTCCACATCATGTCCTGCTCAGATTTACAGTGGTCAAGTATCAAAGAAAAGATAGCAATAAATCCAATCTACACGGCTCTTGTAAAAAGGCATCTATTTGGCTTTTTAATACAAAATGACTCAGAGAAACAGAAATAAAATTTACAAGCCAGTTATTAAAACAAATCCACAATAAGCAAATTTCAGTCACATTCCCTGTCTTCAATCTGGATGAGAAAACAGGAAACTACAAACCAACCAATGTCTGTCCCTTTGAAGAAAAAAAAAAAGGAGAAGAAAAACCAAACAATCCCTGAAGTCTGGCAGGTGGTTTTGAGAGGCCTCTGTAAGCTTGCTTTAATCATCCATCCTGGTGAAATGAGGTGCATGTGGTTGTTGGAATACAGCCACCTCCTACTGGTTTCTTGATCTTCATCTGAAGGGAGGATGCTGGCTTGGGCATCTCTTGATGCCACTGATGCAGTCGGAGGTCAAGCAGCCTTGACGTCTTCCATTCCTGATCTTCACTGGATCTCCCCCATATACAGTCTCTTGTCACTGGATGCTGAGAGAACTGAGGTGAGAGAATAGAGAATAACTGGAAATAATGAAGGCTCAAGGAGACTTGGTGCTCAAGGGCTCTTATTTCAAGAGCCAATTTTAGTATAAAAGAGCCATTGGATTTAGCTTAAACAACCCTCCTCCTAAAGAGCATTGACAGCCTGGCTTTTCCACCCACATCCTCTCGAAATCACGAGGGTGGGCTGTGCTATGGGAAGTACATTACCAGGCTCGGTATCTCAATGTCTCTTTTTCAGTGAACCCTAAGAAAAAGACTTCAGTTATTCTAGAAAAGAAAAATCACTGTTGGTGCTTCCATTGTGTAAAAGAGCTTAGCCCTAGAGAAAGTTACATTTTCTCCTTTAAATTCAAGGCCCATTATTTACAAAACGATGGGCCGGCCAATAAAATGTGGGTTAAGTTATAAAACCAAACACTGCTCTTACCCTCACCACTTTAAACAACGGTGACTACCACTGATACCCATGCTTGCATGGACATTCACAGAAAACAGACATCCAACTTTGCCTCTGTATTCTTGGGGATCCTTTTGGGAGATTCCCAAAGTTTCCTTTTCCCCAGAGTCAGGACAGACTTACTGATGGGCTCGTCGGGGTGGAAAGCCACTTCATTGATGGAGCCAGCATGGCCCGGCAGCTTATACAAAATCCTCCTGCTTGTGGTATCCCACACATACACAAACCTGCAAGGCACCACAAAGAACAAAGCTAAGGCCTTTCAGGGCTGAGGGTAGGTAGAAGCATGGCTTTTTAAGGAAAATGGAAGCAACTATTTATTAACCCCATGTTTATTGAATTGTATTCTGACTTTTAGAAACCAGGAATACAGATTGTGATAATTAGGCATGGATCTGTCCTTGAGAAACTGACTGGAGAAATAGGAAGAGCCAAAAATATAGGCATTACTTTCCTAAACATAAGCTTAGGAAACTGGAAAGAACATGGAGGAGAAAGACAGGTTTTCCTATAGACCCCATAAAGAAATCTTCCTCAAAAAGCACCCATATAATTAGGCTGTCATTAACATCACACGCACCCAGAAATGTCTTAAAGGTAACCCAATGCATGGTAGGCTGGGAGCCTAAGTTGCAGAGGCACCTGAACTTCTAGTATTGAAACCACATAGCCAGAGAAGGAACAGGAAATTTGTGCTACATAAACATAACCCAAATATACACTTGACCCAAATCTTGCACTGAATTCATGAGCAGAAAGGATACTAGCATGGGAAGGGGCCAACAGAAAACAGCAAGTATGACCTTGTTTAACAGGTAAGAAAACTACGGTACAGCGACTTTTCCAAGTTGACACTGTTCATCAGTATCAGAAGTAAAATCAGAACTCTTAATATATTCCAGTAGTCTTCTTTTGCTTAACCCCCTCAAACACCTTGTCTCCCACATCCCCCAATAAAGAAGTTCCTTTGATCCTCAACCTTGCTTGGGTCGTTTTAAACTGAAGGTGAAATAAAGAGATATTATCTTCATATTACCATGCAAAAAGAACCTGCTGGTACATTCAAAGGGCTCCTGGTTTCAACCAGGTTATACAAAGTTACACATTTGTTTTGTTCGGTCAACACTTAAAAGGGAACACTCACCAGTGCTTGATTATAAAATGCCTAGTTCTGATGTGACAGTACTAGTAAACACTTCTAGTCTAAAATGCAAATAAACAAGGAGAGCTTTGGAATTATACTGTTTAGTTCTCAAAAGCTAGGCTCCATGGGAACTGAACAAAAGCTCCAAGCAAGATGGAAAAGAAGCAGGAACCCTATCTGCCTACAGACTCCTTGGCTCTGATGCTCATGCTCTCCCTACTGTTTTTTTTCCTGCCAAGCACAAGTCACTGTCCTCATGAATCCAGCTGAGGACGATGTGCCAAGGTGAAAAAGTGTATGAGCTCTGGAGTCAGAAAGACTTAGGTTCAAGTCTCAGTGCAACTATTTAATAGCTAAATAACTTTAGAAAATTATTTATGTAACTTCTCTGAGCTTCTCTTCCCTTAGTTGTATGGAGATAATATTGTTCCCATAGCTTAGTTGAGAGAGTAAGATACGGTAATGTATGCGAAATGCCTGGCACACAAAATTAATGATAGCTACTGCTACGACAAACGCAATTATTATTAATTATCAAAATACAATAATATGAAATCAAGAGGTTAAATAAATCGCTCAGAGTGGAAAGACTGGCTGGTCTTCCCATAGTCTGTGATGGGACTTTTGAAGGGATTCAAGTCTGAACATGAGGAGGCAGGTGATTTGCAAATAGAGAGGGGAAGTCTGCCAAATCCAGGCCAAGCTGAAAAGCAGTTTTCTGAGAAGAGTCACATTTCCCAGGCACTTAAAGGCCAGCAGAACCCAGATCTCCAAAGGTCTACTTCAAGGCCTCACTCCCCATGGCTGCCAATTAGACGCTAAATTTAGAGGGTTCCATGTCCTCCGTTACTCTGGCATGGCAACGTTCGGCAGGAACCAGGCTCTTTATGTAACAGAGCTGCTTGCTGCCTTTGGGCTAATTGGCGAGGAGGCCTGTGAAATCTGCCAGCCCCAGCAGGTAGACAAGCAGACTCTCCCCAGACCAGAGCCATGCTTCCACACGGAAGGTTTAAAGGAACAGTGGGGAGAGAGAGAGAGAGAGGACATTGAAAAGTCAGGGCCAATGAATGTCAGAAACAAACTGCTGGGAAGAAAAGCTTAGGCAAATGTCATTTAAAAGCGTAAGTACAGAGGAAAGATACAAAATTCTGTGCTGAAAATAATGTAAAAAAACTTAGAATGGCTCTTACTCTGTCAGAATGCAAGATACCTTATGTTGTAGATCTGTTTAAGATCTTCTTTAGTAACCTGACAACTGAAAATCTCCTAAATTCTTTCAAGGTAGTTCTGTAAACCACCAGGAGCCCTTTACTCCCCAGAAAATAGCCAAATACTGGTATGTTCATTTTTCCTGGCATTAAACTTGCCAAAAAAAAAAAAAAAAAAAAAAAAAGGAAACTCTGGAATCTTCAGGTACGTTCACAAATATAAAGGTGTGGGACAGACCAAAATGATGTTTTTCTATGGCTGTGCCCGGGCCACAAACAGAAGACCCTGGAACACGTGGAAAGCCCAATCTAGCTAGCCCAGGAAAGGCTTCATGTTTATAGGATGGTGCCTGTTTCAGCAGGGAAATCTCTAGAGAGAAAGATGGGAGGGAAACCCAGAGTTTGTCACCAGAGGGCTTCCTCAATCTTTGCCATTCTACATCTGTGGCCAACAGCCTGGGCCCCCGGACATCCCTATTCAACCTCTGTCATCCTTCCGAGCATAGGTCACCACATGCAGGGTGAAATTTGACTGCCAATCTTAGGCTAGGAATTCATTCATATAATATTACTAAGTGCTTAGAATAGGTCAAACACTGCCCTGGGTTCAGATATGACTAAGATTCATTCTCTGACCTCTAGGAGCAAATAATGTTCTGGGGTGCCCTACTTACTGTAAGATGTAATAAATGCTAATAAAGGTTAGGTGTACAGAGTGTGACAACAGCACAAAACAAAGAGGAATCCGTTATGCCCAAGAGGTAAAGGAGAGAGAGGACCATGAAAAGTTGATAGGCATAACAGAGAGAGGTGATTACTAGTTATAGGAGTTTGAATAATGGAGAAGAGGTGATATGAGAGAGAAACTGGAGGCACAAGGGATGTAGAAAAAGGAAAGCTCCATGTGAGCGAAGCACTGTGGTGATGGTGGGCGAAGAGAATACACAGTATGTATTTAAATAAACTGAAGCATCTGATGAAAGAAACTGATGAAAGAAATAGATTCTGATGAAGAACCTGATGAAAGAAACTGAAGTCAGATTATGAGTCTGAATTTTATTATGATGGCACTAAAGGCCTGGTGCATGAAAATTCATGACTGGGCCAGGACCGGTTTGGCTCAGTGGATAGAGCGTCGGCATGCAGACTGAAGGGTCCCAGGTTCGATTCTGGTCAAGGGCATGTACCTTGGTTGCGGGCACATCCCCAGTGGGGGGTGTGCAAGAGGCAGCTGGTCGATGTTTCTCTCTCATTGACATTTCTAACTCTCTGTCCCTCTCAATTCCTCTGTGTAAAATCAATAAAATATATATATATAAAAAAAGAAAATTCATGACTGGGAGGGGTATGTGTCCCCTCAGCCCGGCTTGCAGTCTTGGGGGATGTCCACCTGACGGCTTAGGCCCACTCCCTGGGGGATTGGGCTTAAGCTGGCAGTCAGACATCCCATTGGCAGCCTGGGAGCCCTCGGGGGATGTCCGACTGATGGCTTAGGCCACTGTCAGACATCCTTAGCACTGCCAAAGAGGCAGGAGAGGCTCCTAACACTGCCAATCAGCACAGCTTGTGGCTGAGCAGAGCTTCCCCTGTGGGAGTGCACTGACCACCAGGGGGCAGCTCCTGCATTGAGCATCTGCCCCTTGGTGGTCAGTGCACATCATGGTGAACGGTCGTTCCACCATTAGGGTCAATTTACATATTACCTTTTTATGATATAAGATAAATGCAACAGAATCAAAGAAATTGTTTATCCTTCAGGTCTAAAATGTATCCAAAGAGGGCAGAAATGATGCGCTAGCCCGACATGATCTTTAAACTTTACACAGTATACAAGGCTATACTCCTATGTCTACTCTAGCTCAGTATCCAAACTAAATGTATTAAACATGAGAAGATACCAACATCATTCTTTTATATGTTTTTAATAATTTTAGAGAGAGAAGAAGAGAGAGGGAGAGAAAGAGAGAAACATCAACATGGATTAGCTGCCTCCTGCACACCCCACACTGGGGATCGATCCTACAACCTGGGCATGTGCCCTGACCAGGAATCAGCCACCTCTTGGTGCACGGGCTGATGCTTAACCACTGAGCCACACTTACCTGTCAGCTGAGCCAGCTGCTATCTTGCTTCCATCAGGTGACCAAGAACATCTCAGAAGATTCTGAAATAATGAATAAGCAGGAATCCAATGAATAATGTACCAAGCCCCTCTTTGTTAGACTACAGAATAACCAGGAGAGTTTAACATTTCTTGAGTTTTAATTATTCTCCCAAGAAAGGTGATAGCAATTATTTTTTACTGGAGGCCCAATGCGAGGGGGCGCCCGCCGGGGGCTGGGATCGAGCACTGGCCACTGCGCTGTGTCTGCTGGGGTGGGGGCAGGCGCTCGTGTCTCCACTCTGGCCCGGCCCTGCCCCTGCCTCCCCGCGGCCACTCGGGCTGAGGCCAGCGCGCAGTTCCCTTCCAAGCGGTTGTGATACAGCCTCCTCCTGAGTGGTCATGACGCCTATCTAATTAGCATATTCCCTGTTTATATATATAGATTCTGTGGCCCAAGACAGCATACTTTATCATTTCACACCATATAAAAACCAACTTTAGAAAATGCTTAATTTATAGTAAATCAGACTGGACCTGGCAACAAAAATTTTGTTCTACCTACAAATGGAGGCTTCCCTTTGCTCCATTTACCTTGATCCTCATTAAAAACTTTATCTTGAAGGAAAAGAAAACCAAATCCAACAAAAAATAAAATTTCACTTACAAAAAACAATCTTAATGGGATCTCAAAAGAGTCTCTATTATCAAATTATCTTGGGGAAAAGCTGCTTTTAAGAGCTGACCTGGGCTTTGTGAGTTTAGAAGACATTTCTCTCTCTCAGAACTTGGGCCACGGTGCTTACTGGAGAGACGTACTCTCAGAGCTCTGAACAGCTGGTCACTGGGAGGTGATGTTTGGGTAATAACCATAGGAGCCTGGGTCCCATTTGGAATACAAACCTAAGAGGGTTAAAGTTACCAAGGAATTAAAAGGATGTGAGTATCTTATTGAAGTTGGAAATCCTAAATTGGAGCGTTGGTGCCATCACCATTTATCTATGCGATTGCCTTCTACTAATTTTTTTTTTCTAGCAAGGACAGTTTTGATGAAGAACAGTGTTACTGGAATGCAGCCCCTTAGTAGAGCTATTGATCTCTAGCCTCAGCACCATCTCTCTCTTTTAAAATTTAAATTGAGATAAAACTGACATAACATTGTATTAGTGTACAACATAATGATTTGATGTATGTAGATACTGCACCATAGCACAATCTTCAAAGTTTCTTTGAATCAAAAGGACAGAACTCCTTTGCTATGCTGAACTCACCTTTTCGAAGTTGTGGACATTTCCTTGAAATATCTTTACACATCTCTCTTTGGGAGCAAATGGCCGGACATCCCAGACCCGCACTGCAAATTCAAATAAACCGAGCAAAACAGTTATCAGCTAGAGGCCCCCTGAGGACCCAGCTGAAATCGACAGATGCTATTTCCTGGGGGAAGGAGGTCAATATGGTACAATGATACCTGGTAAGGCTCTCTCCTTTTGCTAGGAGGAATAAAATGCATTCAAGTCCCATTAACTGGGTCTATGGGCACAGAGATGAGGGGGCAGGAAGGAGAAATGTCAAACACACTGCTGGGGATTTGCAACAGAGAATACTTTGGTGTGACAATGATTTCAACAGAACATTTTGCAAATGTTCTGCCAACCCAAAGAGTCAGTTAGCAAAGCTTTGATATGACAATCTAACCATCATTGACTACTGTGACATTCAATCTATAAAAATCAAACTTAGGACTAACCTTTTATAAATTTTCTCAGAGGGGCACCTGGCAGTCTAAACTTGAACAAGGTAAAATATATATCAAAAGAGCACTGTACCAAGAATCAGAAAGCGAACTTTTGATTCTGTTTTTAGCTATATTATATATATGGGTGGTATCAGATAAATAGTGAGGTTCTTTGTGTTTTGGTCTCCTCTGTAAAAAGGTATAGCAAGGGTATTTTAATGATTAAATATGATGATATACGTGAAAGGGTTCTAAAAGATTGGAGGCAATAAACAAAAATAAAGAATTTGTAATTTTATTATATAGCCATAACAAGAAATTCCTCTTCTTCTTAATTTAATAACCATTTAGGGAATTTCATCTTTCCTTACTGTAAACGACGTTAGATTTAATCAATGGTAAATCCATTGACATCAGAATGTATGTATAAATACCCCAGTGAGCAGTGTGAAAAAAATAATTCTTCAAGTCAGAGAGGCATAAAAAGGCAAAGCTGTGCATAAAAGTTTGCTACAGAGCTGACAAACAGTCAGAAGGTAAAGAATGTTCATGCATTCCACAAATATTTATTGAGCACGCATTGAGTGCTAGGCACTGTTTTCATTACAAAATGTCAGTGAAAACACCACCTCCCAACAAGCCTATGAACTTGTGTACCTAAGGGGTATTTCCAAAAATATTAAGCATATAATCCAACAAGCCACCATCCTTTTCTGCTATATTCATTCTCCTACTCAACAACTCAAAAACAAGCAAAGATAAGAGTGTGTGCAAATTCAGAATGTTGAGTTGTTTTAATGAGGGTTTCTTGTCACAACAATGCGTTGGAGTGGGGAAGGAAGACATACCGGCAGAAAGAGCACAATTGAGGTCTTTCAATCATCCAAGTGGGAGCTCTCTGAAAATGCCTGAGAACTGCCTTGGATGAATCTCCAGACTCACCTTTTTAAAAAATCAAATCAAGAGTTTCTCGTATCTTGCTTGAACCCATACAGCATAGCAGGGCTAAAACGGGCCTTAAAAGTAAAGTTCATTCTTCTTCTTTATCAGTGTAGAAACTGATGCCAAGAGAAGTGTTATGTGCAAAGTTGCTCAGGGAATAGGTGGCAGATCTGGGACTAGAATCCTTTTTCTATTACGTGTTCTCCCAATTGCTCTGGTGAAAGCCTGTGAGCCATCCTGACTCTATTCTTGGACCTTTATTTATCCTAGCACACATTTTAAAAAAAAGTTTTTATTGATTTCAGAGAGGAAGAGGGAGAGATAAACACATTAATGAATGTGCATATCTCCTTTGTCTTGACCTTAAGTAAAACTTTGTTTTTTTCTGTATAAAATAAACACACTATAAAAAAAATAACAAACATTAATGATGAGAGAGAATCATATATTAGCTGCTTCTTACATGCCCCACACTGGGGATGGAGCCACAATCCCGGCCTGTGCTCTGACTGGGAACTGAACCTGGTTCATAGTCAACGCTCAACCACTAAATCAGGCAGGCCCTCTGGGCCCAGCACACATTTCTAACACCCAATGTCCACTTTCTTTAGGCATTTGGAGTGCTGTCCTTTCCAAAGTTACCTGTATTGTCCATTGCATTGGACAGAAGGTAAGAGCCTTCAGAACTTAAACTCAGGCCAGTCACTGAATCTGCATGGCCTCTCATGGTGTAGGTCAGCTTGTTTTGACGCAGGTCCCAGACCTACAAAACAAGAAGGTGCTCTTAGAAATCAAGTTGTGAATAGCAAAGAAATACGTAGAATTACTAAAGAGTCAACTGCCCAGAGAAATTGGTATCCCTTCTTAAACTGGCTCCAGAGCAAGAATTACTTTATCACAAAATAGAGGATTTCTATCAGAGAGAAAAAACTCATCTTTCTAAAAAGGGAGCCAAGTTACTATATTTGACTAGATAGATACAAACAAATAAATGTCAAATATTAGGTAAACTAACAACCTATGAACCAGGCTCAATCCCCAGTGTAGGGCATGCAGGACGCAGCTGATCAATGATTCTCTCTTCATCAGTGTTTCTATCTTTCCCTCTCCTTTCTTTCTTTCTTTCTTTCTTTTTTTTTAAAAATATATTTTATTGATTTTTGTACAGAAAGGAAGGGAGAGAGATAAGAGAGTTAGAAACATCAATGGGAGAGAGTCAACGATCAGCTGCCTCTTGCACACCCCCTACTGGGGATATGCCCGCAACCAAGGTACATGCCCTTGACCGGAATCGAACCTGGGGCCCTTCAGTCCCCAAGCCGATGCTCTATCCATTGAGCCAAACCGGTCCCGGCTCCCTCTCCTTTCTTCTCTATCAATAAAACATATTTTTAAAAATGCTTAAACTATGATTCTTAGCAATTAAAAATAAACTATAACTATATAAAAACAAGTAAACATGTTATATAAAAAAGACATGAATGCATATAAAATGTATAAAATAAGGTAATATGCAAGATACAGACTTAAAATTTTTCACTTAATGTCATATATTACATATATGCACACACATATAATTATAAGAAAGCATATTTCTTAGAAGAATGTCTGTGTAGGAAATCTAAGAGAAACATTTCAGCTGGGAGAAACTTAATGTCAAGTAGAAAAAAATATTTGGTTTATTAAGTACGGCTCGTCAACACATTCTGGTCAAGGGCATCTACCTCGGAATCAGGTTCGGCCCCTAGCCCTGGCCCTGGCGCGTGCAGAGGGCAATGAATGGATGTCTCTCTCTCACATCAATGTTTCTGTCTGTCTCTCCCTTCCCTTCCACTGTCTCTAAACACCAATGAGAAATATCCAGGTGAGGATTAAGAAAAACAAAACAATATAAAACAAAAAAACGCTTAGCATATATATGCCTAATATACAGAAGGCCCTCAATAACTGATAGGTATCATCAAGCTACTCCTAAAAATCACTCTGAAGACCAAATGTAAAAATGTGAGCAATTAAGCAAATATAAAGAATACAAACCAATATTTATATTTACATAGACTATAATGATGTGAAAACATATAAAAGAAAATAGAAATGGTCTGGAATGTCAATACAAAAGGAATAGCAATTTTGTTAATGTTGTTGGTATTGTACAAAATTTCCTCCAAATTTGATTTAATGTTGCCATGTAGTTTTTCTAAGTTAAAAAAAAAAAAAAATCTGCTGTCCCTTTTGGCAACTAAGGCATGTGCCTCATCTAGAAATGAGTTTGGTGTTGTCAAAGTAATATCAAGGCAGACAATTCCACTTCCCCATCAATAGTTCATTCATGTGTGGAATCCAACACATTTTATATACAATCATTTTTTTGTCAAGATGTGTGTTGGCTCAATAATGAAGAAAACTTAAAATGGCTGACACTTTTTTATTCAGAGAAGGCACTGCTGAAATCTTTAGTTTATTAACAACCAAGAAAGAATGCAATTCACCATCCCTTACAGCACTTGAGTGCTATTTCCAGACTTTCCCCTGTAGAGCCTGCACATGGTATTTGTATAGGCCAAAATGTATTGGAATTTGACATAGAAAGAACAAATGGGGCACTAATTTCAGGAGAAAAAATTATATATATATATTTTTATTTTAGAGAGAGAAAGGAGAGGGAGAGAGAGATAGAAACATCAATGATGAGAGAGACTCACTGATCAGCTGCCTTCTGCACAATCCCCACCACAACCTGGGCATATGCCCTTATCAGGAACTGAACTGTGATCTCCTGGTTCATGGGTTGACATTCAATCACTGAGCCACACCGACCAGGCTTAAGCAAAATGTTTTATATCTCATTAGTGGAAAGTACTTGATTAAAAAAAGTCACAATCTCTGCTCTCAAGGAAGCACTTGGGCAAGGTATGAAAGATGAGGTACTTTTTTACTTCAACAAAGGAAAGTAGTATTCCTAGGCAAAAATAATGTGTGAAAACAGAGACAATTAAATGAATTAATAACATAAAGCTCTAAGAACAGTGCCTGACACAAAGGAAGCACTACATAAGTGTTAGATGCATTTATACGAGCAACCCTTGACTTAGGAAATCAATAAAGATAGGATAGAAGAAAAGAAGATCTAAATTTCCATGTTCCTTCTCATTGTTAATAAGTTTAAGCTCTACAATCTCAGAAGTTTGAAGATTCTCCTCTGTAAAGACAGTGAAAGGGACACCAAACATACCTTGATATCATTGTCTATCCCACCAGAAATAATCTGATCGCTTGTGTCATTGAAGGTCACAGCCAACACCTGGTAGGTATTCTGAAATGTCTGGATGGCTGCTTTCTTCCGGATGTCCCAAAGCTGAAGAAGAAAACAGAGGAGTCTACAGTAACAGCACTTCAAGAAGTAATTGCATCATACACCCTTTAGCCCAAGGACTTTGTAGAGGTGAATCCACCTCTAATAGGGGCCGGTTCAGAAACTCCTTTGGGTATCCTAGGAACACGGTGAGAAGTGACCACAATTTTGCCAGCGTATCTGAAGGTTGGTGAAACAAATCACTTTGGTTATATTTTCAGAGTCCTTTGTTAAAATTTAAATAACCACAGTTTATCAATATGTCCTTAGAGTGGAAAACCTCTACCTGCTTAGTTCATATGTCTTTAGTACAGCAAGGATATAATCAGACCAGTGTGTTCAAATGGTTATGTCCTACCTTATTAGTAGGCTACTCACATAAAAAAATATGTACATTGCCCTCGCTGGTTTGGCTCAGTGGATAGAGCGTCAGCCTACGGACTGAAGGGTCCCAGGTTCCATTCCAGTCAAGGGCATGTACCTTGGTTGCGGGTACATCTCAGTAGGGGGTATGCAGAAGGCAGCTGATTGATGTTTCTCTCTCATCGATGTTTCTAACTTTCTATCTCTCTCCCTTTCTCTCTGTAAAAAAATCAATAAAATATACTTAAAAAAATATGTACATAGACAGCAAAAACTGCAGAGTAGAAAATTTTAAGACTGTCCCTCCACAAAAGCAGAGAATTATCTAGTAAAAAAAACCTAGCAGAATAAACTTTATCAGAATTCTAGAAACTAATAAAAAATTAATAGCAACCAGGCAAACATTTAATGAAGTAAACATAAACCCTGGGTCTTAGGAAGAGTTTTGTGGTGTTTTAACTTACCCTTGTTTCATCCCATAACTCAACAATACCTTTGAAGACAACAGTCCATATTCCCAGTATAGGTTCCCAGGATAGGAAGAACAAAATGGACCTTATTCTTAAAAAAACATGGTTGTTTTTACCTATCTGGTGGCACCCTGAAGGATGAGCTCTAAGAGTTTTCCTTTATTTGCCTAACTTGGAACTCTCCCAAGGCAGAGGTATTTATCCAAAACACTTACATGCAAATAATGCGCTAGGCTCTGCTTGCTGAAGCAAGGACCAACAGTTTGGGCAAACAAAAGACAGCCAAACACTGGGGACTGAGAGTGGGAGAATGAGACAACCTGGAGCACAGGAGAGGCTTTGAAAAGCACTAACACATTCCCGGGACTCTAAAGGTCATTTGCATGCCCGCGGCTGCGCACATGTTCAGAAAATAACCGAGAAGCCCCCACACTCTCACCTGCAGGCTCTGTACAAGCAGGAAATGAAGGCTAATGCCGAGTTGGAACTGCCTGGCTGAGAGGTGAAGGCAGGCCCCAACACATACACATAGTCAATCTGCAAAGACCAGGAGAGTTCCCCAAACCCCTCAATTAAGAAAATCTTTGCCCAGCCATTAGCAAACCACTACCAGGGGTCCTCAAACTTTTTAAAGTGGGGGCCAGATCACGGTCCCTCAGAGAGCTGGAGGGCCGGACTATATGAACTACTAATTCCTACTGTAACACCTCGGCTGCGCTCACTGCCCAAAAAACCTGGCGGGCCGGATCAGACTCCTCTGCGGGCCGCATGTGGCCCGCGGGCTGTAGTTTGAAGACCCCTGCTACTAAGCTAATGAAATAGAGACTTCGGTGGCTACATGCAACTTTATTAAATTACACCAGAAAATTCACCAAATAAATAGCTACAACAAGCAGCAATAACAACAAACTCTGAGGAGAATCTATTTCCAGAGTTGCCATCTCAATTATAAAAACCCCGTGGTCACGACACCAATAGCCATCACGGTGTCACGACCAAATGCCAAAAGGCACCTGCTGAACGTCATATGATGTCATCATGGGAACAAGTAAGTGTTGCTCTGCTCAATTCTCATCTTCCAACGAAAGTTCATTTTTTAAAAAATATATATATATTTTATTGATTTTTTACAGAGAGGAAGAGAGAGGGATAGAGAGCTAGAAACATCGATGAGAGAAAAACATTGATCAGCTGCCTCTTGCACACCCCCTAGGTGTGCCTGCAACCAAGGTACATGTCCTTGAGCGAAATCGAACCCGGGACCTTTCAGTCCACAGACCGACGCTCTATCCACTGAGCCAAACTGGTTTCGGCTGAAAGTCCATTTAAGTGCTCCTGAGAAGGAGAGATTAGGGCAGGAAACTATTCTTATCTCCATCCACAACTGTCTTCAAGGTGGACGGAGCTGAGTGTGTGCAAGGCTCATGCGGGTGTGTGGGGACTTGACGCTGGGTCCCTCGACATGCCTGGTCTCGTGGGATTCTGTGCGGTGGGCCTCTAGTATATATTCAACTGTCTAGTTTTCAACAAGGAAATTATGAGGCAAAGAAGCAGTAAAAAGTGTAGCCCACACAGATGAAAGAAATTAATAGTTTTTTCACAAGTGGTGCTGGGACAACTGGATAACCAGCTGAAGCTAGACCCTTACTTCACACCACATGTAAAATTTAACTTGACATGAATCAAAGACCTAAATGTAAAAGCTAAAACTATAAAATTCTTAGAAGAGAACAAAAGGGTAAATCTTCATGACTATGGATATGGCAATAAATTAGATAGGGCACCAAAAGCACAAGTGACAAAAGAATAGATAAATTAGACTTCATAAAAACATAAAACTGTTGTACATTAAAGAAAGAGTGTCATGAAAATGAAATAACTGCCAACGGGAGAAAATACTTGCAAATCACATATCTGAGAAAGGTCTAGTATCCAGACAAAGAACTATTATAACTCAACGACAAAAATACAACAAGCCCAATTAATAAATGGGCAAGGACTTGAATAAATATTTCTCTTCAGGTCCAGCTAGTGTGGCTCAGTGGTTGAATGTCAACCTTAGAACCAGGAGGTCATGATTCAACTCCCAGTCAGGACACATGCCCGGGTTGTGGGCTCAATCCTCAGAGGGTATGCAGGAGGCAGCCAATCAATGATTCTCTCTCATCAGTGATATTTCTAACTCTCCCTCTATCTTCCTCTCTAAAATATATAAAAATATATTTTTAAAAATTCTCTTCAGAAAATATAACAAGAGCCAATAACCACATGAAAAGATCTCAACATCATAAACAAAAAAATAACTGGGTACCAGTTTACACTCATTAAGACGTAACGATATTAATAACAATAACAAACCCACACAGAAAATAACAAGTATTGGTGAGGATGTAAAAAAATTGGGGGTTCTTACATTGAAAAAAATCTCATACATTGCTGATGAGAATGTAAAATGATGTGGCCGCTATGGAAAACTTTAGATGTCCCTCAGAAGTTAAACATAGAATTACCATTATGTCCCAGCAATCGGACTCCTAGATATATGGCCAAGGAAAATGAAAATAGGTGTTCAAACACTTGCCCATGAATGTTTGTAGCAGCATTATTCATAAACATTTTTTTAAAAGATGGATAATTTCATGCACCGGGCCTCTAGTTACTAATAAAGTTCAATTTGATAATTTGATTAAGATGTTCTTTGACACGCTTTCTTGCATAAGATGTTCCAGGCTCATCTAGTGCGTTCCCTGCCCAGTCCTAAAGGGAGCCCTGGTTCCTTTTAGTGGAAAATGATACTTTCAAGGCCAATACCTGAGCAGTAGGTGTGCTCATTGCTGCTGGGGTGTTATTATTTCTAACCCCTCTCAGTGGTCAGTTAGGAAACATATGTATACATAGGTATACACACACACATCTACATTCAATTTTTCTATATCTGTTTGTATACTGAATGTCATGAATTCACACTGATACTTCCAATTTGATACCAATCACACACAATGCATTTTAGTTTTCTCTACTTCAGTATTGGAATTCCTCTCTCTGACAGTGAGTAGTCTGTTTTCTATTATACTTATTTGATGAAGCTTCCTGTATAACCAACCTCCCATATCCTCTTCCACCCTTCCCCTGAATAGATACCCTTTTTCCTGAATGGTGATTCCCATTCTTGGCTAACTTTATGTGGACCCCTTCCTCATCCCATTTGGATCATCCCTCTGTGTGAACGAACACCCTCTTCATTCTGCTTAGGTTTTATACCCCTCTCTAGGCTGCCCTTCCCAAGGGATGCCATCTTCATCCTGCTCCGCCTCAAACACATCCCCTGTGTGGGTACCCTCAGCTAAGGTTCTGACACTAGATTGCCACCAACGTGTAGATGATCCTTTTACCTCACTCTCCATGCTGGGCAGTGCCTCCTTCCTCATTCTCCAATTCCCCAGGCTGCCTACCCTGTCCTGTGCGGATGCCTTCCTCACATCACGTGGGCTCTGATATGCTACTCTGGACCACTACACATACTCTTTTTATTAAAGCCCTTACCCGATGACACACTTTTATCGATTTTAGAGAGAGGAAGGGAGAGGTAGAGAGATATCAATATGAGAGTGAGCACATTGATTCCACACTGGGGAATGAACCCACAACCTGGTATGTGACCTGGCTGGGAATTGAACCTGCGGCCTTTGGGTGTATGGGACAATGCTAATCTGAAAAAAAGCTATATATTATATAATTCAAACTATATGACATTCTGGGAAAGGCAAAATTATGGAATTAGTAAAATGATCAATGGTTGCCAGGGCTTGGAAGGGATGAATAGGCAGAGCAAAGAGGATTTTTAGGGCAGTGAAAATACTCTGTATAATACCATAGTGATGAATTCATGTCATTATACATTTGTCCAAACCCAATGAATGTACAGCACTAAAAGTGAACCCTCATGTAAACCATGGACTTTGGGTAATTATGATGTGTCAGTGTAGGTTCATCAATCATAACAGATGTGCCACTCTGGCGGGGGAGGATGTGCATATGTGGGACAGTGGATATATAGGAAATCTCTATATCTTGCCCTCGATTTTGCTGTGAAGCTACAACTGCTTTAAAAATAGTCTTAATTAAAAAAAAAAAAAAAAAAAATCTCACTTCAGACCTACTGAACCAGAATCTGGTTGTTTTTTATTTTTAACAGATTCTTTGAGTGATTCTGACATGCACACAGGTTGGAAATCATTGGACTAAATGACCTTTAAGATCCCATCCTGTGTTACTAAACTAGTATGTACTGACCTTCCTATATACTAATTTCACAATAGCCTTATAAAACATGTATACTACCATCACCATTGTAAAGATTGAGAAACCGAGGATAAGAAAAGCTGCCTAAGACCACACAATTAAGTAAACAGCTGAGCCAAGAATCTAATTCAGGTGGTCCATTTTAATCCAAGTCACAATGGTTTGATTTGGTTCCGTTAGATATGTAAAGCGTGTTTTGGGAAATGACTGCTAAAACAAAGTTGTGGCGAGGAGGGTACAACACAGAGAGGTAGGCAAGATAAGGTTCACATTATGTCACCTCAGAAACTGCAACACTCAGAGAGACATCACCCACCTTAACTGTACCGTCATCACTGCCAGTGCAGACAAGCTGGGGGCCCCTCCTGGCCGGATAACAGGAATTCACAAAGGAAGTATGTCCCTTCAGCCTTTTAACTCTCTCACCTGTTTCACTATCCCACACTGCCACAGTTTTATCTGTGGATGCTGAGAAGAGCATACTAGAAGGTAAGAAGAAGAACAAACAAACAAAAATAAGTGAATACAAATACCAGCGAGCTCTCTTCCCCACTTATCAAAATGTGCCCAACCCTTTAAGATCATTGACATGTCCTCTGACAGTCCAGCACGTGATGCTGGAATGCCTGCCTCGTCCTATCTACCAAAATCCTATTGGTGCTGTAGATACGTTACATATAAAATAGTTTACCCTAGTAGAAAAAAATTTCCTTCTATCATTCCCCATGATAGAATAAACATTTAATGCAGCAGTTTTCTCAATCTTTTTCTTCTTTGTGATATTTAAGACTTTATACATAAGATATTCTCCTACTTGGAAATATGTAATCACTCCTTGCTGCAGAGGAGAAACTAGCAATTCTTAACCCAATGGCTATGCAACTACAAACTTTTCCCTAAAAATCAAAGTTTTTATTTTGTCTCTGAGGACAATTTTTAAAAAAAATATATATTTTATTGATTTTTTACAGAGAGGAGAGAGGGATAGAGTTAGAAACATCGATGAGAGAGAAACATCGATCAGCTGCCTCCTGCACACTTCCTACTGGGGATGTGCCCGCAACCAAGGTACATGCCCTTAACTGGAATCGAACCTGGGACCCTTCAGTCCACAGGCCAACACTATCCACTGAGCCAAACCAGTTTCGGCTCTGAGGACAATTTTTAAGTTATAATTATTTTATAAGGCTTTCTTTACTCAAATATTAATAAGAAAATGTATACAAGGCTATGTACCAGATCATTCAGGGAACACTAGGTTTTACATACCAGAGGTTTAAAACAAGGAATATTTACTGAAATATCCAATGGGATTAATATCTCTTATAAACGCATTTCTATATTACTTACAATGATTCTAAAATTATGCAGTCATTAAAGTGTTTATGATAAATAGTATGTTAGGTGAATAATGTTAAGGGAAAAAAACAGCAGAGAAGATCGTAAATGTAGCTCTAACATATAAGTAAGAACCAAACAGTTTTGAGTAGGAAAAAGGCTTGAGAAAAATATTGTAAAATATCATAATACTAAGTTATTCTCTTTGGACTGGCAGGAATATGGGCTAATTTTTCCTTGTTCTGTTTTTTTGTTCTTAGTTTCTTAAAATAATATTTTATTACTTTCATAATAAAAATAGCTAATTTATACATATAAAATTATTTTGTTTTATGTCTTAAGAAAGAAAACAAATTTATCTGAGATGTTGATATATTAGATGATAGAGATGATATACTTTATAATACCTACAAGGAACAATAAACACCTTATTTGGAGTGACAGTGATAGACTAAAGCAATTGCCCAAATATAGCAGTTTTTGATAGCATAGTCTACTGAGAGAGAAAACTCAAGGATCAAAGTGAAAGGATGCCAAGGAGAATTAGTTTAAGTAACAGCTGCCATTCCACTATGCAGAATACTCACCTGCCATCTGTGTTATAATGCAGTTCCATCACTGCTCCACTGTGTCCCTTCAATGTTGCATAGTTATCACAGTCACCATAGACATTCCACAACACTGTTAGGGAGACAGGAGTTCTGTGAGCATTGCTAGGCAAAAGGAAATTTATTACTGACCATGGATGTGGGACCTATGAATTTATCAGAACAATAGTGCTTAGAACACTATTGGTTCTACCAGTTGGTCCAACTTTCCTGACACTGTAACAAAAATAGTGCAATATTTTCACATCTTATAAGGTAAAAAAGTTAGCGGGTACAATTTTTTAATCTTAAATTTCCTATAATATTAAAAAAGCTGACACTCACTATTGCTCATCTCCTATTAATTTAATATAATATAACTGTAAAATGGCAGCACTTATGGAAAACTGAGGAAGCACAAATGACTTGAAGGTCACATGGCAATGATTTTATCTGACATTTACTTAATCCACATGTAGTAAGTACCTATAACATGTCAGGTACTGGGATAAAACAAGGTAAATGAATAGACACAGTTGCTATCCTCAGTGAGCTTGCCCTAGTGAGGAGTAAAATTTAATAAGAATTATTAAGGAACACCTCTATACATGAGGCTTCTGTTACCTTCTTTTTCACTTTTTCTCTTGACTCCCCCAAAGTGATTTTCTCTACCTATTTCTCAAAAAATGGATTTTCCTCACTAGGAGTTGAGAATCTGGTAGCAGATCCTGATAATGTACAGATAGATTATCCAAGTGAGTTGCCACTTTAAGAGTCCCCCTTCCTTCTCATTTGCTAAGTTTCTGAGAGTGAACCAAGAGAAGGGTCTCTAGCCTTTGGGGGAAAGAAATGGTCTTTTTCTCTTTATTACTCCCACTAGAGGCCCAGTGCACGAAATCCATGCACTGTGTGTGTGTGTGTGTGTGTGTGTGTGTGTGTGTGCGCGCGCGCCCCTCAGCCCAGCCTGCACCTTCTCCAATCTGAGACCAGTTGGGGGATGTCTGACTGCTGGTTGGGATCGGGTCTAAACCAGCAGTTGGACATCCCTCTCACAATCCAGGACTGCTGGCTCCCAATTTCTTGCCTGACTGCCAGCCAGATCACCTCCTAATCACTCCCTTGCCAGCCTGATTGATACCTAACTGCTCCCTGCCGGCTCGGTCCTCCCCAAGTGCTCTCCCCTGTAGGCCTGGTTGCCCCTAACTGCCCTGCCGGCCTGGTTGCCCCTAACTGCCCTCCCCTGCTGTCCTGGTTTCTCCCAACTACCTTCCCCTGTAGGCCTGGTCCCCCCAGCTGATCTCCCTCTCTGCTGGCCTGGTCAACCCCAACTCACCTCCCCTTCTGGCCTGATCGCCCACAACTACCTTCCCCTGCCAGTCAACTTAGACCACATGGGGGTGGCCATTTTGTGGGAGGGTGTACAGGTCAATTTGCATGTTTTTCTTTTATTAGTGTAGATAGGATTAATCATTAACCCTAGAATTCTTATCTTGCTAAATCAGCTTAAGATTTGCCCCCATGAGGAAGATATTCTCAAACTAGGGCAACTCACTTTCCAACCAGTAACATAATTCCTTCCGTATTTACCACTTGGACTCTGAGTTCTACAATCAAGATCATTTAGCATTTTCACGACGATGTAGTTATGTGACCAGATCAGACTGATACCTTCTGTGGCACCAAAGATTTAAAAAAATAATCACTACTTATTCCAGATTCAAACACTATGCCTTACATATCAGTCGGTCGAATCCTGCAGATGCCAAGGTGGATCCATTGGGGTGAAACTTGCAGCAGTACACTTCGCCTTCATGTCCTGAGAGAAGCATGATTGGGGCTTGAAGGGAGGAACACCTTGGAGGCCCCTAAACAAAGAAGAGAAATACAGGCTAGTCATTGCATACTGGCAAAGGAAGCTGCAAATTAGGGAGTGGATGTAGGGAAAAGAGAAGGGAAACAATGACCGGTGGATTTCTCCTGATCTAGAGAACTGCACCTCTTCTCACAACTTATGCCTCCAATTGGATACTTTCCTGCTGAAGTTGCCAGTGTCTGCCTGCTTTACCAACTTTCCTATCCCCCATCCTGCTCCTGTCTCATAGCCAACTAATTGCTCACACGTTAAACTCATTTCTAACTCGGGATCTTTACACTTGTTGCCCTGACAGGAGTCTGCTTCCCCTAGATCAGTGTTTCCCAAAGTGTGGTGTGCGTACCCCCAGGGGTACATGTTGCACCAGTTTGGTGGGGATATGCACTGCACCGTGCTTAGCTGCGCCTAATTCTATGTTCTCATTAGTACGAGGGGTACTCAGTGTTACGAAAATTATAGAAAGGGTACACATATGTCAAAAGTTTGGGAAACACTGCTAGATTTTCCTGTTTGGCTCTTTTCAAATGTTTCCTGTTTAGAATCGAACTCAAGCAGCACTCAACCTCCCCTCTGTGTTTCACTAACTCTACTGTATCCCCTCATTGCACTTATCATTACCTGAAATTCCCTCCTTGTGTATTGGTTTACATATTTGCCTTTTTCCTCACTAGAAAAGCTCTGTGAATGCAGGGATCCTGCCCGTGTCATTCAACACTCTTTTCCCAATCTCTAGCTCATTTAATGGATGAGTGAATGATTGAACTGAGCAACAGTTTAGGGTACAGTTTATTGGGAATGGCCTTTTGATTATGATTTTTTTTAAAAAATTAGTATTTTTAATTGATTTTTTTACAGAGAGGAAGGGAGAGGGATAGAGAGCCAGGAACATCGATGAGAGAGAAACATCGACCAGCTGCCTCCTGCACAACTCCCACCGTGGATGTGCCTGCAACCAAGGTACATGCCCTTGACCGGAATTGAACCTGGGACCCTTCAGTCCGCAGACCGATGCTCTATCAACTGAGCCAAAATGGTTTCGGCTTGATTATGATCTCAAAATTAAGTCTAGGCATGTGCAATATGCTGGGACCTGGGCTGATATTCATATTTGCGAGGTAGATGAACAAGTACATTATTAACAATCCCCAAATTTCTTCAGTAGTTTCCAGCTTATTCATTTATTTTAAGAAATACTATGTGCCAGGCACTGGGAAAATAAATGGAGTTTGCTTTCAAGTGAGAAGCAGGAAGAGAAAGAGGGACAGAGAGAACGCAAGTAAAATATATAGATGGTTTTAGGTGCTTTGAAGAAAAACACAGCAATGTGGGTTAGTAAGCACTGGGCATTGCAATTTAAAGGGGACCAGAAAAGCCCTCCCTAAAAAAGTGGTATTTAAGGAAAGATTTGGAGGATATGAGTATATAAACCAGATGCACATTTGGAAGAGTACTCCAGTAGAGGAAACAGCAGATGCAAACACTTTTAGGCAGGAGCACGGAAACCAGTGTGACTGGAGCAAGTGTGAGCCATGGAAAATTGGTAGATCAGAGAGGTAAAGCGGCAAAAAGGGCCAAAGGTTGTAAGGATTTTGGTTTTACAGTGAGTGAAGTGGAAAGCCACCAAAGTTTTCAGCAAAGGGTAATGGAACCTGACATTCAGAAGGCTTCCTCTGGCTGCTGGTTTGAGAACAAAATGACCACCCAGGAGCAGAAACAGGAATACCAGTTAGGACCTTACTGCAATAATGCCAGGTGAGAAAGTAATAGCTTAGATCAGGAACTAGTGATGGAGGTGGCACAAGTGGTAGCCGTTTGGAGATCTATTTTGAAATGGTGCCAGCCGGATTTGAGGACACAAGCTTCTTTATCTGAGGCTAACAGAAGGAGAGGTATGATCACTACCTCTATCTTACAAGAAATTAAAAAAAAAAAGAAAAAAAAGAATTGGGTCTGGGTTTAAGATGTTTCCATCACTACTAGATAAGAGTTTGCCTTCCCATCTACAAAGTGGAATAACAGTTCCTAACTCTTAGGCTGTTACCAAGATTAATGGAGTCTTCATTTAAAATGAAATAACAACACAAGGGCTCAATGAATATTAACTATTCTTGGGTTGTTGTTAATAGTGTAGAGAAATACAGGGAAAAACAACTTGCCCAGAGTGAGCAAGATTATTAATTTCATTCCTTTCCTCATTCATTCATTCATTCATTCACTCACTCACTCACTCATTCAATCCTTCTCCATCCTCCCACTCTTGCAACTTTTCTGAATGTTTACTCTACGCTGAATCCCTGCAAGGTTTAGGATACGAAAACCTCGATCTTGATTGTGAGGTCAAAATAAGGATCCTTAACTTTCATTCTAACCCATCCTCATAGGGAGATCGAGACGCTGAAAACGGATGTCAAATAGGGAGACGTATGGAGTCTCCGGAGGGTGTCGGCCGCTTTTACAGTGTTTTTCTGCCTTAACTCCAGGTAGAGGTTTTCGTGCAGCCCCACAGTAGGCGGTAAGAGGCCCCACAGTAGGCGGAAAGGGCCGCTGCGGGACCACCCGGTGCAGCTCTTAGAGGAAGATGAGCTGAAGGCCGCAGGCCGCCGACTCCTTCACTCACCGCTTGCAGCAAGGCCCCCGGCGCCGCCTGCTGCTGTCCCGCTCCGGGGCCCGACCCCGCAGCTCCCAACAGCAACTCATGCCGCGGCCTCTTGACTGGAACCAGCGGCAACTCTGGACCCTTGCGCTTCTGTTGCTCAATCATGGCGGTGGCCGCTCTCCTCCGACACCCTGAGCCCCCGCGCGACTGGTTCCGACTTAGTCCTTCCCTAGCACATCCGGCTTGGAGAGGCCAATCGGCTTCCAGTACTCTCAGCGCCCACAGATGGGCTCCTCCTATTGGTCACATCTCTCTGACGTCACGGAATCGTGATTCTAGGATTGGTGGATGGGGCTGAGGCCCCGCCTCCGCACGCTGTGTCTTGTGGGTGGGAGCGCGCCGGCCGTGTTGGGGCGATTCGCGCAATGCAGCGTCGCGGAGAGCGGAGCGGACGCCGAGTGAGTGTGAGGGAGGTCGGGGGGCGGGCGGCCGCGGAGTCTGGAGGCGGTGCCTCGGTTGTGCGGGGTGAGCCTGGCCCTTCTCCGCCGAAGTTTTAGTTGCTAGCGGCAGAGGCGGGCCCGCACGTCCCAGCGCGGGTGTGCGGGAGCCGGGTTCCCTTTCTAGGCGGGAGCGGAGCTTTAGGGTCTCCTCAGCGGCTGCCTGAGGCCCTCGACGGCCGCCTTCAGCGAGCGCCTGCCGTGGCCGCCCCTGTGCCAGGCGCCCTCAGGGAAGAAGGCCTGTCTCCCAGCCTCCGCTGAGGGTCCCCGCTGAGGAGGCGGCTCGTGTCTGCCAGCCTTTTCCCAGGGCCTGCTCTGAGCTCCTGTGAGGGACGGAGGGGAAGAAAATGCCCGACGCCTGCCGGTCCAACTGATACTGATTGTGCAAAACATCGAGGTTACGTTGTGAGCCAGACGGGACCCCTGACCTCTCAGGGCTGTGAGGCTGGGGGGGAAAACGAATGGAAAGGGGTCTCACTGAGAAATGTGGAGTGCGTGCGACCTGGGGGAGGCACCTGAAACAAGCAGGGAAGCTTCTCTAAGGAAAAGCCGCCTGAGGGAGAATTCGAATGAGGTGGGTGAGGAGAGGAAGGCAGACTGTTCCTGGTAGAGAACAGCACGTGAGACCATGGGAGGAGGATGGCCGAAAAGCACAGAGGCCCGTGTGGCCAGGAGGAAGGGCGTGAAGGGGAGGTGAGGGGGAGTGTGGTACAAGATGAAGCTGTAGGCGGGGAGAGGTCAGATCTTGCAGGACTTTGTAGCTTTTACCGAAAGACTGCTGAGGTTTTTGTTGTTGGTGGTTTATTTTTTTATTATTTTTAAAATTAATATGTATATATTTTATTCATTTTTCACAGAGAGGAAGGTAGAGAGACAGAGTTAGAAATATCGACGAGAGAGAAACATCGATCAGCTGCTTCCTGCACCCTCCTTCCCCCCACTGGGGATTCCTGCACCCCCACTCCCACCCCCCACTGGGGATGTCCGCGCAACCAAGGCACATGCCCTTGACGGGAATCGAACCTGGGGCCCCTCGCCCTGAGGTCACTGCTATTCCGACGGGGGCACCCTGTCTCCAGGGGCATGGACCTGCTGGGGGCTGTTAAAAGGCCAGGAAGGCGTCCGCAGGCGGACGCTCTATCCACTGTACCACCCCGGTCAGGACAGTGGTGGTTTATTTTTTATGGGGAGTGGGTAGTGTGGTGGGGGATTGGGCTCGATCAGTCAGAGGCTGGATAGTGAATAGATGGAGGACAGATATACTGTTGGGAGGGAGGACTGAGGAGTTGGTGGAAATGCAGAGTTGGACAGGTTCTAAAGGTGAAGACAGGAGAGGTAAAATCAGTAGGACTCGCTAATGGATTGGATTCAGAGAGTGAAAAAAGAGGACTTCGAAGTAACTCCTAGTTTTCTGGCTTATGGCAACTGGGTAGGTATTTTGTTTTTGTTTTTTGGACAAGGGAAGGAAGAAATCATTCTTGACATCCAGGAGGCAGTTTGAAACAAGGGTTTGGAACTCAGAAAAGATATTTTTTTGGAAATATAAATCTGAGAGTAATTTGTATTTGGTGGTAATCGAGTCATAGATGTGAGTAAGATCATCTACGTCAGAACCTTTAGTAGTCGAGTTAATACTGCTAGGCACTAGAAATTTGAAGGGTATGCTAATGTGCAAGAATACTCAAAAAATTTCATAATTAAAAAAGAAGAAAAATGTTTGTAAATAGGATTTGAATCTCATCAGCATCATTTATAAGTTTGTGATTTTGAGCAAGTTACTTAGCCTCTGTGTGTTTTAGTGTCTTCATCTGTAAAATGAAGTTTTTTTTTGAATGAGTGAACAGAGCCTTACTATGTGCTGAACAGATCAGAAGATGGGAGACTTTCAAATGACAACTAGTGGTCCAACTTCCCGCCTTCCCATCCAATATCTAGAATTACTGTCTTAGAAAGATGCTACTTCTTTTTTGAATTCTAGTAATGAATCTGTTGAGAAAACAGGTCAAAAGCAGGAAAGAGAAAAATAGTAAAAAGCAAAGAAAAACACAAAAAGTGAACTCAAAATATGAAAGCTGAAAGCTTTATGGAGAGCATTTAGCCCATTACTCCTATTTAACTGAAAACAAACTAGCAGAGATTAAGTGATTTGATAGCTGGTACTAGACCTCAAGGCCAGTACTTACTCTACTATCTACAGTCAGTAATCCTGAAGGTCCCTTCCAACTCCTCTAATAATAATTGCTAATACTTGAGTACTTCCTATTGCCATGTATTAACCTAAAATATTTACTTGTCTAAACCAATTTTATTCCCTATTTTGACCACCCTAGGAGATAGTAACCTTTCTGTGCGTGGGATGGCGCCCAACCAATTGAACTACCCGGGCCGGGGATGTGAATTCTACAGGGCATTGTAGACTAGTGGTTGAGAATGCAGGCTCTGTAGTCATTATTCTGTCTCTGCTCATATCTTAGAATTTTAATTTATCAACTTATCTCTTCTCAATTCATATACATAGGTTAAAGATGAGTCATTCTCTGCAGTTTTCTTCCTCACCCAAGATAGGTTTTGACCTCACTCTGGGCCACCATTCCCCTGCTATACCACCTATTCACACATTATTCTTTCTTTGCTTTGGGAACAGAGTGCCCAGTAACCGGCTTCCTATTGATTTCCTACGTATTATTGTTGTTTAAAATAGTCACGTAAAATGAAGTACCTAAGGGAGATTTTCTAGTTCTAGAACTATTGCAAAGTAACTACAAATGGTGTATCTCAATCCTTGTCAATTTACTTGCTCTTTTAAGTCTACAGATGTGATCCTATTTGACTGGACTATATTTATTTCAGTTTTATAAACCTTTTTTTTTTTTTAAGCAGAACCCTCTCCCCTCCTGCCCCCGCCAATTGAAATCTTACATAGAAGCTTAATAGGTAAGCTAGATCAAAGCAGAATGCACTGTTAAGTTAGTTCCTCTTGCCCTAGCTGGTTTTGCTCAGTGGATAGCGCATCAGTCTACAGTAGGGGTGTCGAACTCAATCAGAGAAGGGGCCAAAATCTAAAATCCAGCCTAAATCGCGGGCCGAATGGTTTACTGAACAGTCATAAACTGTCATTGTGATGGAAACGCAGCGGAGTGCAGTGATGACAGCGCGGTGCGGGCCACATTGCAAGGCCTGGCGGGAAGGATTTGGCCCGCGGGCCTTGTGTTTGACACATGTGGTCTACAGACTGAAGGGTCCCAGGTTTGACTCCAGCCAAGAGCACATGCCTGAGTTGTGGACTCAATCCCCAGTGGGAGGGGTGCAGGAGACAGCCCATCTATGATTCTCTCTCATCATTGATGTTTCTATCTCTCCATCTCCCTTCCTCTATGAAATCTATGAAATTGATTTAAAAATATTTTAAACAAATAGATCTTCCTTCTGTAACTTCTACTCCTTTCTACCATGACCCACCTAAGGCTGGGAGGGCAAGTGGGAATCAGCAGTAATTTTTGAGGAGGGGCTTCTAGCTTTCCAAATGCTGTGAGTGGGACTTCTCTCAATTCTGTGTTTTTTTTGTGTGTGTGTGTGTGTGTTTTTTAGGGGGAGGGGGCTCCTGCTCCTTACATCTTTGATATAGAGGCTATCTTCCTAGAGTCCTACTTTAGCCTTCTGGACATGTATGATCCCTAGATATTTCAGAATTGACTTTTTAAAAGTAAATTTGACCCAACTGGTGTGCTCAGTGGTTGAGCATCGACCCATGAACCAAGAGATCACTAATTCTATTCCTGGTCAGGGCACATGTCCAGGTTGCAGGCTTGATCCCCAGTAGGGGGCATGCAGGAGGTTGCCAACCAATGATGTTTCTATCTCTCTATCCTTCTCCCCTCCTCTCTAAAATAAACTTGAAATACCTAAGGAGCTTCTGAATAAACCACCATAGAACCCTAAACCATAGAACCCTACGTATCTACAGAACATAATAAAAAAAAATTTAAATACCATTTAAAAAAATGGCAACCTTCTACTCTCCCGAATTGTAAACCTATATTTTTACATTTCAGACTTTCCCTAAAAACTGCTGCTAGTTTTCTAAAAGAATTGCATAGGATTTCTCAAGCTATTGTTCTAGAGAAGGATCAAACAGGAGAATTTTAAACTTGGCTGTTCATATTCTTATCACAGCAGAAATCAGCAAGAAACAACTTAAGATTGTTTCCAGCAAAAACTGGTTTGGCTCAGTGGACAGAGTGTCAGCCTGCAGACTGAAAGGTCCCAGGTTTGATTCCGGTCAAGGACATGTACCTTGGTAGTGGGCACATCCCAAGTGCGGGGTATGCGAGAGGCAGCTGATTGATGTTTCTAACTCTCTATCCCTCTCTCTTCCTCTCTGTAAAAAATCAATAAAATATATTTAAAAAAAAAAAGATTGTTTCCACTTCTATTGCTCTTTTCACAACCTTTCTATAGGGAGGAACAGGTGAGACTAAGATATTTGAGCCTAATTTAGATGTCCTACCTACTGATGCCTCTGCAGGCGTCTTTAAACTACGGCCCGCGGGCCACATGCGGCCCGCAGAGGAGTCTGATCCGGCCCACCAGGTTTTTTGGGCAGTGAGCGCAGCCGAGGTGTTACAGTAGGAATTAGTAGTTCATATAGTCCGGCCCTCCAGCT